ATAAAATTAATTACTATAAAACAATAAAAACTAGATTTAATCACATTAAAATTTCATTAAATCTATTAATTGACTTCCTCGAAGTCTTATAACAAATTAATTTACGAGGTTGCAATACGAGGTTACTAACACACGTCAGTCACCAACGAAAGTTGACAGTACAATGAGGTGGCAGTTGAAAGTGCTTCTGATCTCATTTTTTTTCAGATCAAAGTTTTATTTATTGTCGATACATTCATGACATTGTAAACAAAGTAACACAAGCTCTAGTGAGCTTTTAAAATCGACATCATAATACATTACACACAATCAAAATGACATGCAACAGAACACACATATAAAGACAAACATACATACATTACAAGACATAAAAACATCAAGCACATACATGAAATACGCAAATAAAATAATACTGTTCATGCAGATAAATTATAAAATCATAGCGAACTAATTTAGTATAAAAGCAGCAAAAAAAAGCCAGGCTACGCTCAAATCACAAAGCACTAATTGCATGCATTACATTGGCATGAGCTGCCATCCCAGGTCTGTATTAGATTGGAAAATTGAGATAGAGAATTTTCCTGTCTTATGTGGTTTGGCAGCTCATTCCATAATTGTGCAGCACCATAACGAAATGATTTTAGCCCATATCTTGTAGTTTTTACTCTCGGTATATCAGCTGTATCCTTAGATCTAAAATTATAACGTTGAGTTTTGATATTTATTAGGTCATGAAGATAACTCGGACTTTTCTTGTGTACAATTTTAAATGTTTCAATTTCAATGGTTCTAAGTCTGCAAATTTTTATAGAAGGAAGTTTAGAAGTCAAAAGTAAATTTTCATAGCTGCTTATATAGTCCTCATATATGAAGCGGAGAGCTCTTTCCTGAATTTTTTCAACTTTTTGTGTATTTTTTTCACTACAAAAATGCCAAATTACCGGACAATAATTAAAATTTGAAAGAATGAAAGAGTAGTAAGCTGTTAGACGTCCCAATCTGTTTAGATATTTGCCAATACGTTTAAGAATGTTAAGTTGTTTTGAAGCTATTTACAAATTTGTGAGATATGTTTAGTTCAAAGTCTATCGTTACACCAAGGAGTTTTACATCTTCATCACATACAATTTTATTGCCTTCTAAATCAAAAGTTAAATTATAATTGTTTGTCTTTTTCCCAATAGCAATGGCCTGGAACTTGTCCGGATTCGCTTTCTTTAAATTTTGTGAAAACCATTTTATCCTTTTTTCACTGTCATTTTCAAGTGTTTTAACTAAATTATCTACATTATTGTCACAGTAAGACATGATATTGTCATCTGCATAGTTATAAATCGTACTGTCTTGAACACAGTAGAAAATATCGTTAATAAAGACATTAAATAACACTGGTCCAAGAATCGACCCTTGGGGGACCCCCTTTATCAGTAATTCCCAGTCACTGTAAGTGTTGCCAATCATTATACGCTGCCTTCTATTTTCCATGTAACTTTTAAATAATTTTAACGAGCTTTCAGAAACGCCATAAGCCTCTATTTTTAATAAAAGTAAATCGTGGTGCAAACAGTCGAAGGCTTTTGATAGATCTATTAGGATGGCCGCAATATATTTATTTTCATCAAGAGCTTTTTTCCAATCTTCCATAATTTTTAATAACGCTGTTTGACAATCAAAACCAGAACGAAAAGATGATAAAAGGGGATTAAAATGATTTTTTTAGAAATTCCATCAGTTTATCATGAATTACTCGCTCATGAAATTTAGAAATAGCTGGCAGCAAACTTACAGGACGGTAATTACCTTTTTCAAGGGTGTTGTTCTTTTTGAAAATTGGGACCACTTGGGCAGATTTAAGTTTTTCTGGAAAGACTGAATTTTCAAAAGATTTATTAATTAACAATTTTATGGGGCTTGCAATAACTGGTTGTGCTAGCTTTATGATTTTAGAAGAAATGCCATCATACCCTGTAGCCTTTTCTACATTTAACTTGTTTATATGTTTATTGACAAATTCTTCTGTTACTGGTGTAAAAACTAGTTTTTCTTTACTTATTCTGTTCTTCTCAATTTGTTCATTGCTTTGATGGTTTTTGTCAATTTTTATACTACTGTCTCCAATATTTATGGCAACATTTACAAAACAATTGTTAAATATTTCAGAGACTTCCTGAGGCTCACTAACTATTTTGTCATTTTCACACAGAATTATGTTGTTATTTGTTTTTGTACCTTTATTTGATAAAAATGGTTAAATTGCTGGATAAAAAGTGGTTGATTTTGGTCCACCAGCTGACTTCTTTCAAAAAAATATGTTTTTATAGAGTTTTTCTTCATTTTTGTTATAAGATTTCTTTGTTTTCTATACATATCCCAGTTTGCATCAGTTTTACATTTCTGGAATTTATTATAATACATTCTTTTTTTATAAATTGCCTTTCTTAAGTTCTTATTCATATAAGGTGCAGGTGATACAATTGCATATGGTTTCCTCTTTTTCATTGGAATGTGTTTGTCAACAACAATAAGAAATTCTTTCTCAAAGTTTGCATGTATAATTATTAAAATTTTAGGAATTATGTATAATAACTAAAATTTCATTGTGGAAGTGATGCGACGTAATAGAATCCCTGACATTTTTCTAGTGATTATGCATAATTCCTGAAAATTTTAGTTATTATACATAATTCGTGAAAATTTTAATGATTATACATAATCCCTGAACACATATACACCTACATCATTCACGAAAGAGAAGATTTTTAGAAAATCGTGTAACTTTAAACATCACTGATCCATGAAATGAGGTAGAGATCCGGTGAACTCTGTTTGACGGACATGTAGACCTTACAAGGTACCCTTATACCAAATAAAGTTATCCTTTTACTTAAAATAAGTGAGAAACTTACAAAACAAAACAAAATTTAAAAAATTTAAGCAGTCACTGAACCATGAAAATAAGGTCAAGGACAATGGACATATGATAGACAGAATCTTCGTAACATAAAGCATTTATATGCTCTTTGGTCGGGTTGTTGGCTCTTTGACACATTCCCTGTTTCCATTCTCAATTCAAGGTATGAAGCATCCATGATTTTCTTCCGTCTGTAATATAAAGCTTTATACATATTGTTTATGCCCCCGCTGGATAGTTATCCCCATGTCTCACCTCTTGTTTTCAAGACATAAATGGTACATAGTAATTAATCATTTCTTATTTTCAAGCTGTTTTTACTACAAAAACAACCTATATCAACAAATAAAGAGTTGATTTGCCTAGATTTGAAATCCTTTTGCCATGGTGTTCTTACTTTCTTCAATTTAATGGTTTCTGATTGCCCACTTGTTATCTATCTAAGAAATAATCCTTTCATGTCATGCTCTATGCATTTTTTAACATGGGAAGGCATTATATTTGTAAGTAACTACATGTGTTGTATTTTTCTGTGTTTAAGACAGTGTAGCTCAAAATGCTGTATTATAATTTTGAGGTTTGGGTCATATTGTGGTTGTGAACAAATGCAGGTTCATTTTTGTAAGGCAGTGATTATTGATTATTGATTTAATTCTTGGTCGTTTTCTTAGCCACCCTTCATAGGTGAAGGTCAAAAGTTTTACTCTTTAATGACAATTTGGTAATTTCATATTATAGATCACTCTTTAAACTCTACATTTATAGTTATCAAGAGTACCTTAAAAGTAAGTAGATTTTCATACACTGTATTACTATTCCCGTGTGTACCATAAATGTTTGTACTTGGTAAGTAAACTAATACATGTGCATTTTTGTATATACATGAAAAGTGTACAACTTACACACACTGTCTCCTTTAAATCAGTATTTATATTGTACTACAAATTAAAATTTTCATTCTGGGGCATAACCATGTTGATTGATAGCTCTGCTATGCTCTAAACAATCTGCATGCATTTTGTATTGTAAAATAATCCTGAAAGTTATTTTTTATTCATGTTTGATAATAAGTTTAGGAGTGAGATTTTCTTTCACATGTTGTTTTTTCAACTAAATGAGCACTCCCTGACACATTGTGTATGTTCTTATGGCTAAAGCTCACACTGTGAAACTTCCTTTAAAGGGGCATTAGCTATGAGATATAAAAAAAAAAAAAATATGATTTTTTTTTGTTCCATCATTAATGAAAGTGATATAGTGAAATAATAATTTGCTTTTGGCAGCCAAATTGGTTTAATTTTGTCAAAATAAGCTAAGAAACATCTCTAATTCGACCTCATTGAATCCGTATTCATGTGACCTTTAATTTACCCCCTTAGCTGGAGAAGGGTTACACATGTATTCAGCTATTAAAAGGAAAAGAATGTCAACATTGAAACTGAAACAAGAATGAACCATTTGGTTGACTTAATTGATCCACAAAAAAATCATTCTTATACGGGTAAAATTGATGATAAACATATTTTTAACCTACGATATGAAATCAAACAGACCTAGAAAAATCCAACTGCAAGTGCTCACTATCTGTTTATATTTATATTTATGTTTATATCGGGTTAAATACTGTCGGCAGTCTTTGGAGGTCATCTCCTTAATTAGATGGCATCTAGACAAAAATACACATGATATGTTGAAACATATTATCAAGTCCATGCTTTGTTAATTGTTCATTTAAGACTTTTTGTAATTTGGATATAAGTTTAAGTATGTTATAAATCAAATATGAGAATTGGAGTCAAATCTTTGGTAATGAATTTGACAGCTAATGCCCCTTTAAAATTGAAAACAAGAATATACGTCCATAGGACACCATGCCCTGCTCATACTATCATATTTCCAATGTTCACTAAACTGTGAAATCTTAGTCACAACCCTAATTTGGCATATGTATTACACGGTTCACTTTATTTTTAACATGATGTTTCAAGTTGATGTGACCACAAACTAAAACTTAAACTTAACACACTTCCATGTATACATAAAGGGCTTACACATTATAATCTAGGTCAAGTAATTGTTGAACAAATGATACTGATCTATATATTTAATAAATAAAATCTAATAAGAAAACTGATGTGTCCTATCAGTAAGCACTGTAGTCAAAATTATCTGTCTGATTTCTGTGAACTTCCTTGTTCTGAGATGTTTTATCATTAAGTTTAGCTTGCAGTAAAATATGCTCCACAACACCACATCTAATCTCCATCTGCATATTTTCTTTCTTCAACTGCTGAATAGCTTGCTTAATTTTTACAAGAGGTGCTAAAATGAAAAAAGTTGTAAATATTATACACAAATACAAATAGGATATTATGAAACACCAGCACAGATGGACAGCTGAACAGAACACACAAACCAAAAATACCCAACTACTTTAAAAAAAAAAACAGACTTGCAAATAAAGACAAACAACACATGGTTCATATAACCTGATTGGTACATGCACAATATGTTGTGGTCTTAAACAAGTATTATGAGTGCACAAACCTGTCCCTTTGCCTATGTAGATCATATTTTGTAAAAGCAAAACATACAATAACTTAGAAAATTCCTTCTTTTGTGAACACTATAATTTTGCTTAAGAAACCCTAATTTGGCATATACTTAAAACAGTTCACTTAAAAATGAACATGAGTACCAAGTTTCAAGTTGCTGTGACCACAAACTACCCTAAACTAAAACTTTAACCTGATATGGGATGGAAGTACATACATAATTATAGGCTGAGCATAGAACCTGTACAGTGCAGCTACCAACAGGATTACCACTAATTAAAACAAGGAAATGAAAAAAAGCAGATAATTTGGAAAACAGGGTCAAAATGTGCTCAGTACTACATGCAGCTAGCTAAGAGTAGCCACAGCTTTTGGTTGAAAAATCAGAAACAAGTCTTCTTCATTCTGCTGTCATCTCTAACAGGTTTTGTGAAGTCTCTTTAAGTTTGTGAGAGAGAAGAATTTTAACAGTTAGTTAGTATACCACACTGTTAGTTTCATAACAGTAAAGAAATTATTGGCAATTATTTTTCGAATAATTTAATGATATATAGGTATGCAAATATTGTCAAGTGGGAAATACTGGGAAAACCTGGGTTTTACCAGGTAATACTGGGCAATACTGGGTAATATGAAATACTGACTGGAATCTTAGAGTATTCAGTGATAAATCACTAAAGCAATACATTAAAGATATAAATAATACTTAGTATTTTAATTTACAAGTTCACTTAAGCTATTATAAAGTGTGTAAATCTGAGAAAGTATCAATCCAGCAATTCAACTCTAAGACATACATGAAGACACACAGAGCTTTCTCAATAAGATTTATAGATGATATTCCTAAATATCTATTAAATTGCCATTTTGTCTAAATTGGTCTAACTGTTAACATGAAGCCAAAGAATTGGATTTGTGTTATTTTAAATATATACAACTAATATCAAAAATAAACAATTAATAATATGTAAGGAAATTGACTTTTTAACAATTTTTATCATTAATTGAGTCATTGCTTAAAAAAGGGTTCACAAAGTTTTAGCACACTAATATGTACATCACTAATTAAAAAGTACAGTGTAATTATTCAGATTATAACACAGATTTGTTTATATAACAATAATCAGCCTTTTCATTTATAAAAGTGATCTTGACATGTCCCCTTAGGGTGTTTATTTAGCAATATGATTGCATAACAATTTAAATTTACAATTCTCTAAAACACTGGCAGCACTTCAAAAGTTTGGATTATTGAAACAAAGCTTGGAAATAAGCAAGATATCCAAAAATGTGCAAAACATAATTGTATTCTGCCTACATAGAATAATTTGAGAAAAGGGAAAAATTAATTTTTTATCCTCTGAAAATGACTCTCAATGGTTATCTGTATAAAATGTATATATTAAGCTATAATACTAAGAAACTACAGACTTGTCTTTACAATTCTGTATAAGAATAATCTTAAAAAATCATATTGCCCAGAATTGCCCAGAATTACCCGTTTCTGGGAGTGTTGCCCAGCCCGAGAAAACCCAGGATTTCCCACCCGGGTTTTCCCACCCGGGTAATACTTTGCCAACCCTGCATTTTTGAACTTTAAGAGAAGTATAACAGAACTAGAGACTCTAAATAGCCTGTGTTGAGCACTTGAAATTATGTGCATCATCAACATTGGCCACTCTCTAATATTGCAGACTAGAATACATTTCATGACTTTAATCTCTTTATGCTTTTTAGTGTTCTGCTGATCATTTTAACTGTTGAGTTTCTCTCTATCTTGAATAGTTTTTGCCCAAAATGAAAAAAAAAAATCGACAAAGATCATCATAAAAGACAATAAAAAATGGTTGACCAACAATTTCAGCCATGTTGACATATGTGTACCTCTTCTACTGCTGGTAATTATGGCTTTTATAAATTCTATCTGTTATTGTTTTCAAGATAATAGGCAAGAAAAATCATCATTAAAGGGCAATAACTCATATAAGGAGTTGACTGACAATTTGGGCCATGTTGACATTGTAGATCTTGTCTTGCTGATCATTTTGCTATTTAAATTTCAATATATATATTATAGTATTCAAGATAATGAGCATAAGCCCAAAAAAAAACTGGTAAAAAAAATGTCATTTTAGGGCAATTACTCCTATAAAGAGTCAACCAACTATTTCAGATATACCAAGCTATTTGTAGATGAATTTTGCTATTAAAGTTTCTATCTATCTATTACAGTTTTCAACATAATAATCAAAAACACAACAATCTGCACATTTCTGCCCCCGTCAGATTTTCTCTATAATGGTTTTCTTGAATTTACCCCCCTACGCTGAATTTTTAGCCATGTTGGCCAAGTAATTAAGTTGGCAGGCCGTTACATCAGACAAAAATTTTAAACTAGATACTGCACTGATGATTGTGACCAAGTTTGTTTCCAATTTGCCCAGTCCTTTTAGAGGTGAAGATTATTCTACGTGGAGATTACATGTCTAAGCTTAGTAATAAAACATTTTATAAATTAAGTTCAGCTAAAAACTTTTGGTTTCTTGGTAATATTATACTAAAGGCTCTTAAAAGCCTGTGTCTCTCACTTGAATAATCAACAATGGCCACTCTCAACATTATAGACTATAATTTCGTTCATTATCAAAATATCTTTTGTTTTATCTTGTATTGCTGATAATTTTTGCTGTTAACAAATTCAAATTCTTTATCTTTGCCTTTTTGGACATTACACATTTTGACAAGTTCATTTGCCAATTTTTTACTCCCTCCATTCGGATCTGTTGATAAGGTATAGCACAATGAAACACACATCAAAGTCATCATGATGCGGAAGAGAGGTCAAGCTTGATAAAGAGAGATAACTCTATATTTATGATTGACACTTTTACCAAGTAGAGGAGTTATAAATCTGTATTCAAATTTGCTGTTATTTTTCTTCCAGCAAAATAAAGTTTAAATTCCCACATAAGAGATAAAAACGTTTTGTCTATGTTAATCCTTACCCATTTAAACAGGTAGGTTGTAATGAGAAACTTTATATTAGGAAATTGGTTATTAATCGTTGATAATAAAGCTCTTTTTTTTTAAATCAAAATAAAACAAGAGTGCACATACTGAAGTGAATTGCCTACTTTACTGATCATGATCGATTTAAAGAAAAAGATTTTTCTACAAGTATCATATAAACTTAACATAATGACCCATGACAATAAGGTTGAGGTCAGATAAACCCTGCCAGACAGACATTTACACCTTACAATCATTCCATACGCTGAAATGTCTCGCCTGCTTTACTGACCATTAGTTTTATGTTGAAAGTTTAAAAGATAAAGGTATTACTACAAGTATCTCATAAACTTAACATTTTTAAAGATACATGACAATGAGCTCAAGGTCAGATAAATCTTGTCAGACCGACATGTACACCTTAAAAATATTTGATACACCAAATATAGTTGACCTATTGCTAATGGTAATTGAAAAATAGATCAGAACACAAAATCTTAACATTGACAAATGAACCATGAAAATGAGATCAAGGTCAGATGAAACCTGCCAGACTGATAAGTACCCCTTACAATCATTACATACAGCACATATAGTTGACCTACTGTTTATAGTATCTGAGAACCAGACCTAATTGTGTAACTTTAACCTGGATCACTGATCCATGAAATGAGGTCGAAGTCAGGAGAACCCTGTAATGACGGATATGTAGACGTTGCAAGGACCATATACTGTAAACAGGGAAATTTTCGCGGCAGTTTTATTTTCGCTATTTTGCAGGGAGAGTTGAAACGCGAAAATAAAACGATCACGAATATTTTAAGGAAATCCAAACACAAACAGGAAGACCATACATGACCGTATGCCAATAGAATATGTAGATCACTAATTTAAAACATCGATTTACAGACAACAGATCTATACCGCAAAATATAACTGTATTTCTAACTGAAAGTCAATATTAGAAATCAAAACATTATCTCATGATAGTCTTACATGTATTAACATGGAAGACATCTCCAGCAAGTTGCCCATTGTATCTGCTGCACAGATCGATCAGATCAAAAGATTAACTAATTAGCAGTAATCCTGTCAGCATGTAATTCACTCTTAATTAGGTCATTCCTCTCTGTTTATTGTGAATGTGTTTTTACAAGCAAACATGACTAATATAAATTTTCAATCTGACCCGACAAAGGAGATTTCTGATTGGTCTGATCACTTGATTTAAATTCATGTAGTAAAAATTTAAAACTGTACAGTTTCCAAATCCTTTATAAAAAAAACTTATATAGGACACTGGGACATCGCGAATTCAAAACGGAGCGAATCTAGATTTTGTTGGTAAATAGTGAAAAAAAGACGGTGGGAAAATTTCCCGGTTTACAGTATAATAAAAAATAGTTATCCTATTAATCACAATAAGTGAGAAATTCACAACAAAACAACTAGAATTTTTTTCAACAAGTTGCTGAACCATGAAAATGAGGTCAAGGACAATAGACATATGACAGACAGAATCTTAGTATCCGCCAGATAGTAATCCCTAGGTTTTGAATTCTACTCCTTTCGTCACAGGCAAGACAAAATTATGTATATATATTCTGTTACTCATAAAAGTGATATACACCATAATTGTATTATTACTAACCTCCATCTGTCATGCTACTGCCTCTGTCCTCCATCTCCATTTTTATTCTTTCTAACTCTTCTGTCACCTAAAACGAACACAATTTTCCTTTAGTGCTGTATATTCATTTAGTTTCCTTCACATGGGTACCAATTTTAAGGCAAAGTATACATACTTGGGCAATATTTCAAATTTTTCTGAAATTTTGTATTCATTTTGCATTAAATAACAAAATAAATTGCTTCCCTGAGCGCAGCTGGATACAACCACAGAGGTCGTACCCTGAACTGTTGAGGCAAAAATGGACGCAATATTCACGCTTGATACAGGTCTGAATTTGGATTGTAATTAAATATTTGACACATAAAAGGTTTCTGACACAGAATAAATGTAGTCAAAGAACTTAGAATTGGTTATATGATTTGAATTTATATTCAATTTTTTGCTTTTGTGCAATACATTTTGCTGTTGCGAATTAACCCCCCCCCCCCTTTCATATGGATTTTTTTGTAAAAAAAAAAGATGCAACATTTGCAGATTTTTTACTGGTCTTCCTTTATAAATATGTAGGACTCTAAAGTGCGATGGTCTACGCTAAAGTGCGATGGTTTGATACGCTAAAGTACGATGGTCTATGCTATTTTATGGAGCAAGCTAAATTAATGTCTGATGCCTCAAAAGCTAAAGTGCGTTTTCCCGACAACAATGGAAATCAACTTAAATGAAAAAGCGGGTTACCTTAAAATTGACAAGTGTATAAAACACTTAGAAAACCATATTTTCCAGTAATTTGGTTAAATTAATCAAAAAGTTAAATAAACTTTTTTTTTTGGTTGTTGAACGTACAGTGGCAAATATCATATGCATATACAGGACGATCATACGCATGACCATTTGATCATTTATACTGAAATAATTTTAGCATTTCTACTATTCATGTTAAGGTTACAAAATATAATTTAACTTAAGAGGAAAAAGAAGATTCTGGAGCTGGCTCACCTGGATGTTGAGGAATTAAATTCGTCCAATTTTAATTTAGCAGCACCTTCTATGTTTGTAATCAGATGTTATGAATATGGCTTAAGACAGGTTCATAAAGTATATACTAGCAACTGCAATGTAACCATTACACTTTTTTGACAAGTATCGTTCTTTAAATAAACAAGAGTGCACACGCTGAAATGTCTCGCCTTCTTTACTAATCATTGATATTATGTTGATAGTCCTAAATATAAAGCTTTATTACAACTGTCACATAAACTTAACATTAACCAAGTAAACTAAACATTGACCAATGAACCATGAAAATGAGGTCAAGGTCAGATGAACCATGCTAGGCAGGCATGTACAGCTAACAATTCTTCCATACAACAAATATAGTTGACCTATTGCTTATAGTTTAAGAAAAACAGACGAAAACACAAAAACTTAACACTGAGCAATGAACCTTGAAAATGAGGTCAATGTCAAATAAAACCTGCGTAACTGACATATAGATCATAAAATATTTCCATACACCAAATATAGTTGAACTATTGCATATAGTATTAGAAAAAAAGACCAAAACTCAAAAACTTAACTTTGACCACTGAACCATGAAAATGAGGTCAAGGTAAGATGACACCTGCCAGCTAGACATGTACACCTTACAATCATTCCATACACCAAATATAGCTGACCTATTGCATGCAGTATTAGAAAGAAAGACCAAAACTCAAAAACTTAACTTTGACCACTGAACCATGAAAATGAGGTCAAGGTCAGATGACACCTGCCAGCTAGACATGTACAACTTACAATCATTCCATACACCAAATATAGTAGACCTATTGCATACAGTATAAGAAAAACAGACCAAAACACAAAAACTTAACTATAACCACTGAACCATGAAAATGAGGTCAAGGTCAGATGACACCTGCCAGTTGGACATGTACACCTTACAGTCCTTCCATACACCGAATATACTAGACCTATTGCTTATAGTATCTGAGATATGGACTTGACCACGAAAACTTAACCTTGTTCACTGATCCATGAAATGAGGTTGAGGTCAAGTGAAAACTGTCTGACGGGCATGAGGACCTTGCAAGGTACGCACATACCAAATATAGTTATCCTATTACTTATAATAAGAGAGAATTTAACATTACAAAAAATCTGAACTTTTTTTTCAAGTAGTCACTGAACCATGAAAATGAGGTCAAGGACATTGGACATGTGACTGACGGAAACTTCGTAACATGAGGCATCCATATACAAAGTATGAAGCATCCAGGTCTTCCATCTTCTAAAATATAAAGCTTTTAAGAAGTTAGCTAACGCCGCCGCCGCATCGCTATCCCTATGTCGAGCTTTCTGCGACAAAAGTCGATGTCGTCGATAAATGCAACTAATTACTACGGCCTTTAATGTGGAGCCTTAGCCTACTCCGCATAGCAATCTATATATACACAGGGCCACACAATGACCAGTGTAAAACAAACAAAAAGAGAAAGAAAACGGCTTGATTAATAAACATAATAATAAACGAAAAACTACAATAATAGAAACACAGCAACAAACGAAAACCATTGCCTGAATCCCATTCCCGTTACACCATCGCACTTTAGAGTGCTATACTATTGCACTTTAGCGTGTTATAATATCGCACTTTAGCGCGTCATACATCGCACTTAAGCGTTTGACTCCATCGCACTTTAGCATATACAATCGCACTTTAGCGTGACCATCGCACTTTAGAGTCCTACAAATATGCATTTCTTCAAACATAATTTAAAAGCAGTGTAAGGGAGGTAATCAAAACGTTGTATTTGGATTACCTCCCATACACTGCTTTTAAATTGTCTTAATTGTTCATTAACCATTACTTTATACATAATTTAAAAGCAGTGTAAGGGAGGTAATTCAAATGATGTATTTGAATTACCTCCCTTATACTGCTTTAAATTATGTTTTGTACTAAAGTATTTGTCCATTAACCAGGACACACTTGTTTTTCCCCCTTTTTTGCCCCTTATTCCTTAACGGTTTGAGCCATAACCCCCCCAAAGCAAATCCTAACCATCCCTTTGTGGTATGGAAACTTGTGGTATAATTTCAGAGAGATCCATACACCGTTCCACAAGTTATTGTCTGGAAACTAGAAAAATGCTTATTTTTGGCCCCTTTTTGGCCCCTAACTCCTTAACTGTTGGTACCATAACCCCCAAAATCAATCCAACCTTCCTTTTGTGGTATTGAACCTTATGGTAAAATTTCATAGAGATCCATTCACTTAAACTAAAGTTTTTGTGCGAAAACCAATGTGTCTTCGGAAATGACGATGACGACAACGACGCCAACGTCATACCAATATAAGACTTTTGCGGTCGTATAAAAATTCGTAAGGGTTCCCCGGAACCTAGTGTCTCGCCTACTTTTGCTGTTAGTCGCAGGCTAAAAAAAAATGGGGAAATAATTATTAAAAATTTTCCTCTAGATACTATCATTTGATTGTAAGAAGCTTCTGTTCAAGTTTGGTAAGAATCCAGGATGGTTTATGAAACTAATAAATGTTTTAAAAAATTTAACTGCAGACTGTATGTAATGTTAACTGGAAGAAAAACTAAGTCCATTTATAAGTAATATACGGAAAAACAGGAAATTTTTTTTTTACAAAATTTCCTTCTAGATACTAGCTTTTGATCATAAACAAGCTTCTGTCCAAGTTTGGTACAAATCCAGGATAGTTTAAGAGAGTTATTATAATTTTGAAAACTTTAACCACAGAGTGAATGTAATGTTAACTGGCAGAAAAACTAAGTCCATTTATGAGTAAAATATGGATAAACAGGATTTTTTTTTTACAAAATTTACTTCTGGATACTATCTTATGATCATAAACAAGCTTCTGTCTAAGTTTGGTAGAAATCCAGGATAGTTTAAGAAAGTTATTAAAATTTTAAAAACTTTAACCACAGAGTGAATATTTGTGGACGCTGCCGACGATGACGGAATGTAGGATCGCTATGTCTTGCTTTTGCGACAAAAGTCGCAGGCTCGACAAAAATTGTGGAATTTAGGTAAAATTTACCTTTCAGGGGCATTATCTCCATTTAGGGTTGTCAGATTTTTTTGAAAATTTTCAGGTAGATAGAACGTGCCATTTTGGTTCTTTTTTTTGCAATTTACACTTTTATGCTTATTTGAAACAATAGTCAAGAACTACGAAAATGATTAAAAAACACTTTTCAGGGGAAATAACTATTTTTTTATTTGCAATAGAGCCATGTGAGCTGATATTGAATCCATAACATGACTTATCAATCAAAGGGATACTTGCATCCATATGGAAGATTGTAGTGTTTCTTGGTTAATGTTTGTTTTCTTTCACTAAATGCTAATAATTCTACATGAAACACAGCTTTTGGTGGGGTTTGTATTGCTCAGTCTTTAGTTTTCTATGTTGTGTGTTGTTTGTCTGTTGGTCTTTTTCTTTTTTAGCCATGGCTTTGTTAGTTTATTTTCGACTTATGAGTTTGAATGTCCCTCTGGTATCTTTAGCCCCTCTTTTACAGAAACTTTAGTATATTATGAATATTAATAACCATGGAGAGTATAAAATGAAATTTAAATATTCCACAATTTCCTATTTATTTTATTTGTCAATAATAAAATTTCTTGAGTGTTACCCCGGTACATATTATTTACTCTCATACATTTTTTATTTGCCATAAGTGGCATGAAGTCATTCATGAAATCTTAATGTACATATGATATAACTGTTGACCTGACAACTATCCCTTTCACTTATTCAACTGTTATTTCTATTTAATAATTTATTTACGTCATTTTGTCTTAAATGTGCAATTTGCCCCAATTATATATCATTTTCATGCATGCATATGATTATTTATTTAGCAGGAGCACAGTCAGTAATTCATTTCTAAAAATATGCATGTTTCAGTAAAGAACTCAGAGTTTTTTTTATTAATTGGAACAATACTTAGATCTTTTTAAAGTTATAGAATAGGTGAAGAATCTTATCTAGAAATATTATGAGTGATTTTTTGTGTGCGAGTGGTAACTTTTGATAAAACTTAAACA